GGTCGTTATCTAGAAAACTCCAAACAGAATCATTTCATGATCAAAAGCTCTTAAGTTATAAGTTTAAAGATAACAATTAAAGGCATTCAACCCCGTGAATGATCAAACAAAATCATAGCAAAGAATTAAGCATTCCCATACTAAAAAAAAGGTTAAAAAATAAAAAACCCTACTATCATACCAATGAGAAGCTAAACAAAATAAACCCAAATACAATTAAATCAAGACTCATTAAATCTTATGCTTACAATTAAAAGGTGAATGATCAAACATAACATAGTACGAAATGAAGCATTCTCCAATGCAACAGTCATACGAACTGAACAATAAAATCACCATTAAGAAACTAAACAAAACAAACCCAAATTTTTTTTTTTTTTTTTGAAAAAACCTATGTGGCTCCGAAGAAATTTGAACTGATTAAAGCTTCTGCTTTTCAATTTGCCAAGAATGATCAAGCATAAACATACTAAAAAGATAAATATTTCACATATACTAATCATACAAAGTGAACAAAACAAACCCAAATATGGATTAATAAAAACTTACACGACAGAGAAAAATCAAAACTTGCTAAAGCACCAGCTTTTCAATTCTTGTGGATATATTTGGTATAGAAAAAACTATAGCACTGAAGAGACGAGTGAGGTTGTGGTTTTTGGGGTTGGGGGGGGGGGGGGAGTGGAGAATGAAAGCTGTAATGTTGATTGGTCTGAAACAGAGCATTAAATGAGGAAGACTAAGAAAAAAAATTAAATTTTTGAAAAAAGTGAAAATGGGATTGTTTAAATATTCGAAAGAAGAAAATAATTAATGGTTTCTCCACAAAAGGTTAAAAAGGTTCTAACGTCTCTTTTGTGAAGAGGGAGGGATTTCAAATTCTCTCAACGGGAGGGCGCTCCGATTCCCTGCTTCGAGGTCCACCTTTTGCACTTTGAGGAACCAATTGATTCGCTGATGGACTGGAGATTAACGGAGTATTAAAATTAAGTCAACGACAAAACTTGCAAACCAGATAGATGTTTTAAAACATTTACATCTCGTCCTACCTTAATTTTAAATAAAGTGACTTTTCTCTAAAAACTTTCCGTAGTTAATTCCTATACATTTTTGCTCACGATACGGAGGATGTCAATTTAAACTGTAATACTAGATCTCAAATTTCAGTAGCCAAAACTGGTTCCGTTAGTTTCTCATACTTAAAGGGATTGTTTGGTACAAGGAATAATGATAGTAATTTCGAAACAAAATTTAAAATTGTGTTTATCTCATATTTGGTTATATATCTTAGCAAATTCTGTATTCGGTCAAAATCAGGCACGCCCGATTTCACAGGCTCGAGGGATCGCCTTAGATCCGAGTTCGGGTAAGGTCGAGTTCGAGGTCGACGAACCAGACTCGAGCTCGAAGACAGAATGCAAGGTAGGAGTATGAGGAATACCGAAGCCGAGTACGCTCGATCTCGAAATAATGCCGTTATGGATTTCTAACAAAATGAGCGAGACTCCTGCCACGTCCCCAAGATCATGGCGCAAATCCCGGAATAGAATTGTACGATTCCGTACTAGGCGGTTAGACAGTTGTACCAATAATATTCCTTACTGTAAATAGAAATGAACCTTATTTAGGGTTTCCCTATTATATAAAGGGGACCCCAATCATTTGTAATTTCATCTGATCACTGGCAAAGAATATACTATCTTACTTTTTCTGGCTCATTGTTCATCAGAATTGTCTTTCTCTTTACTGTTCTTATTTTATTGTTCTTGGTCCATCTCGAGGTCACTGAGCTCGAGGTCGATACTGCTAAACAACACTGGTTTGATTCACTTATTTCTTTCATTTCTACTTTATACTTCTTGATTATTAATTGGTATTGAATTAAATCACGTATCTTTAAAACCACAAATCAAATTTAATTGTTACTCGGTATTTTTGAGGTAAACAGTTTGGCGCCCACCGTGGGGCTAAAGATAATAGTGATTATTTCTTTACTGATTCTCATTACACACGTTATTTTTACACTTTTTCTTGTCAAGATTTTCTGATTCTCAGGATTAAACATGTCGAACTCGCAAAATGCACTTGTTCATGACAACGAAGGTCTTGGATTTCATGGAGAAAATAACAATTTAGGGGTCGGTGTACCACCGATAAACCTTGGGGAAGTGCCAAATGTGAAACAAGTTGATGTCAGTTCACACATTACTTTGTATGCATATTTAGGCGCAGACCACAGAGGGAGTGTACGCAGAGAAGCCTGATCCAGAGGCCAAAGAACACCAGGTATAGGAGATGGGGGAGTCAGCCTCCAAGTGATATTCGAGATGCTGCAAGCTCAGCAGATCGACATCGCCCAACTTCAGAGTCAGAATAAAACTCCGAGTATAGCTGAACCAGAAAATACTCGACGTGCTGAACCAGAGCCAGAGAGGTCGAACAGAAATGACTGGGGGACTGACCCCACCATTATGAGGATGCTCGAAGATCTCACCAAGAGGATCGAGTCTGGGGAAAATAAGATTGAGGACAATGATAAGAAGGTGGAGACTTATAACTCCCGTGTTGACCAGATACCGGGGGCACCTCTAGGTTTGAAAGGTTTAGATGCAAAAAAATTCATACAAAAACCATTCCCTCAGAGCGCAGCTCGGATGCCCATCCCTAAAAAGTTTTGCATGCCCGATACACCCAAGTATAACGGGACAACCGACCCTAATGAGCATATTACTTCATACACTTGCGGGATCAAAGGAAATGACTTGAATGACGATGAGATCGAATCAGTATTGTTGAAAAAGTTTGGAGAAACATTGTCAAAGGGAGCTATGATTTGGTACCACAACTTGCCGCCTAACTCTATTGATTCATTTGCTATGTTAGCAAACGCCTTCGTGAAAGCACATGCCGGAGCCATAAAGGTGGCAACAAGAAAATCAAATGTATTCAAGATAAAACAAAGGAACGACGAGATGTTGAGAGAGTTCGTGTCCAGGTTTCAGATGGAGCGAATGGAATTACCACCGGTCTCGGATGACTGGGAAGTACAAGCTTTTATGCAGGGTTTGAATGAAAAGAGTTCGATTGCGTCTCGATAATTAAAGCAGAATTTGATCGAGTATCCACATATGACGTGGTCCGATGTACATAACCGCTATCAATCGAAGATTAGAGTCGAGGACGACCAGTTGGGAGCTCCCTCAGGTTCAGTTCATCCTAACAGATCGGTAGCCAGGCCCCCCAGGGATACAAACAGGGAATCAAGGTCAAACAAAGAACGGTATCAGTAGTATGTTGATCGGAGAAATAATGGTTCAAGCCGTAACGCTCCTCGGAATGATCGAAGAAATGATCGAGTTCAAAGCTCTTGGGGACTCATGAGTTAGAGCGGGTTCGATAAACACACCGATCCCGCGGAGGCACCTCTATTGTCGGAGTACAACTTCAGCGTAGATGCATCGAGGATTGTGTTCGCTATTGCAAGAATCAAAGACACCAGGTGGCCCAGGCCTATCTGAACCGATCTTTCTCAGAGGAATCCAAATTTGATGTGTAAGTATCATGGCACACATGGCCATAGAACTGAAGATTGCAAGCAACCAAGGGAGGAGGTAGCTCGGCTGTTCAACGAGGGTCACCTTCGAGAATTTCTCATTGATCGAGCTAAAAACAATTTCAGGGAGAGAGATGCAAGAAAAAATGAGCAGGAAGAACTACAACATGTAATCCACATGATCGTTGCCAGTGTCGACATCCCACAAGGACATGTGTTCAAATGCACCAAGGTATCAATCACTAGAGAAAAATGGACTCGGAGCTATATGCCCGTGGACGTCCTATGATTCTGTGACGAGGAAGCACAAGGCGTATCCCAACCGCACAACGACGCCCTGGTAATTTCTATTCTTTTAAATAAAATTCAAGTTAAGCATGTTCTAGTTGATCCAGGTAGCTCAGCAAACATAATCAGATCGAGGGTCGTGGAACAACTCGGCCTACAAGATCAGATTATACCTGCGTCCCAGGTCCTAAATGGATTCAATATGGCAAGCGAAACAACAAAGGGGGAGATAATCCTACCAGTAAACGTAGTCGGAACCATACAGGACATGAAATTCCATGTCATCGAAAGCGACATGAGGTATAATGCACTCCTCGGGAGGCCATGGATACACTATATGAGGGCAGTGCCTTCAACTCTTCATCAGATGATGACGTTCCCAACATAGGAAGGAGTGAAAACAGTTTATGAGGAGCAACAAGCTGCAAAGGAGATGTTTGCAGTCGAGGAAGTGGTGTCGATACTAGAGTCTTCGACCTTGGAGAAATCGAACACCAAAGGTAAACAGCCGGCCAAATAGCAATCACTGCCCCCAGCCTCGACAGAATCGGAGCAACAAGTAATCGAAGACGAAGAAGAGGATTTCCTTACTCCTCGAACCTTCATCATTCCCGAAGAGTCCGATGCAACCAATTCAATTGTCGAGGAGTTGGAGCAGGTCATACTAATCGAATATATGCCCAAGAGAAAGGTACACCTGGGAACGTGATTAACCCCCCAATTCAGGAAAAAACTCATTCAATTTCTTATTGATAATATGGATTGCTTTGCTTGGTCCCATTTAGATATGACAGGGATTCCACCAGAAATCACCACACATCGGCTAAGCATTGACCCTAGGTTCAAACCGGTAAAGCAAAAAAGGAGGCCCCAGTCCGAGGTGAAACATGCGTTCGTGAAGGACGAGGTAACCAAACTTCTTAAAATAGGGTGTATTCGGGAGGTAAAGTACCCCGAATGGTTAGCCAACGTAGTTGTAGTTCCTAAAAAGTGAAATAAGCTTAGAATGTGTGTAGACTATAAGGACTTGAACAAAGCATGCCCAAAAGACTCTTTCCAATTGCCCAACATCCATCATATGATCGATGCCACGGCTGGCCACGAGATCCCAACTTTTCTCGACGCCTACTCCGGGTATAATCGAATTCAGATGAACCTGGAGGACCAGGAGAAGACTTCGTTTATTACTAAATTTGGAACTTATTCTTACAACGTAATGCCCTTCGGGTTAAAAAAATGCGGGAGCTACATATCAACGCCTAGTCAACAAAATGTTCGAAGAACAAATAGGTAAAACAATGGAAGTTTACATTGATGATATGTTGGTTAAGTCCCTGTGCGCAGAGGACCATTTGACTCATTTGCAGGAAATATTCAAATTTTGAGAAAGTACAACATGAAGCTTAACCCGGAGAAATGTGCCTTCGGAGTTGGCTCGGGTAAGTTCCTCAATTTCATGGTGTCGAATCGGGGTATCGAAATTAACCTCGATAAGATCAAGGCCATCGAGGATATCACGGTCGTGGATAGCGTGAAGGCCGTGAAAAGGCTAATGGGACGAATTGCTTCCCTAGGTCAGTTCATTTTGAGGTCATCGATTGGAGTCATCGGTTCTTTTCTTTGCTCAAAAAGAAAAAGGATTTTGCATGGACCTCGGAATGTCAGCAAGCCTTAGAAGAATTGAAGCAATATCTATCGTGCCCGGCTTTGCTTCACACCCCGAAGGTAGATGAAAAACTTTACCTATACTTGGCAGTGTCCGAGATAGTGGTAAGTGGTGTATTAGTTCGAGAAGAGCAAGGTACGCAATTCCCTGTTTATT